GACAACAAGATGGCGGATTGGCAAGTTCAGCCGGATGTTTGGACTGGTGACCTCAGCTGAAAGTGTTCAACCTCATATAGTTATTTTTCAGTGACAGTTATAAGCCAAGTTTTTTTTTTTTTTAGTGGTTGCAAAATCGTCAGCAAACAACGTAAGCATAGCCTGACTGAAAGCGAGACGTGACGTTTGACATTCAGTGTCAAAGCAGCTGTCAGTCATCAGCTCCTGATGTGCTGCAAGGACAACAGATGGACAAACGGTCTTCACCAGGCTGACTGACAGCAGAAATGTGCTGGACAGCAACAGTTTTTATGTTGGCCTTGTAAACGTAATCATAGCAGACACCAGTAAAATAGATTAAAGCAGAAAATAACCGGGGATTTGGGTGATCTAAATAGCAGTGTGTAGAGATTACTCTGCACTCAATCCACCAGAGAAAACAGACCTGAAACAAAAAACTGGGTGATGCATGGCTCACACGCATGTGTCATGGAGACATTACATAGAATGGAGTTCCCTCTGTTGTGTGAAAAATGCATCTAAAAACGTGCTCGTCTGAATTGGCCTTAACTGTACCTGTGTAGGTGACTCGACCTGTTGTTTTACGGGCTTCCTGGGGGAGCCACTGAGGTGCTTGATTAAATGATTGATTGTTTGGATTGATTTTTTTTTTTTGCCATGGCAGGCCACCATGTTTGAATGTTACCAGCGGAAACACTCCATAGGTAAGCACAATCAAAGGAAAACTTGTCAGTCCTCCTGTTCCTGACACAGATATCTCTTCTCTCTATCTATGCTCTTTATTTCACATCTGCTTCTCTCTTCTCTTCTTCAAACCCAACAATTCCACCTTTTGCATCTATTCTGAACATGCCTGACTTCATGTGCATCTAAAAACAAAGTCACACAAGAGAAACAACAAGCCGCGCCTCCCTCCCTGCCTGCCCGCTCACCCTTCCCCATCTATAAAGTTGTTCCAGGGGCTGAGAGCAGGTGGAGGGGTGAGTATTATGGTGGGAGCGCGAGTGCATGGAAAACCCTAAGCCCTCATAGTCCCAGCACACTGTAGCAGTGACTGCCAGCTTTTGTCTGCTCTGCCTCACCTGTTATCTGTCCATCACTGTACTGTGCTGAGCTCTTAGCTCACACAATCACTATCAGTGCTTCAAAACAACCAGAATAACTTAATTGCCTTTGATTACATTTTAAGTAATGCATTTTAATCATCTAAGTATCAGGTTCCCCAACAGTCACAGAGCATCAGTGATAAACTACAATAAAACCAATGCAAACCAGCTCCAGCACAACAGTGTAGGTACTGGACAAGTGAACCTCACAAGTCTTTGGCTCATTATACACAGATTCTTTCTAAATCCAATTTTTTTGGTATAATGTCTCTTTTGTCTTGTGTCTTAACAATGACAACATTTATACAAATACATTCTTTAAAAAACCTGCTCGTGTCATGTATTAAATAAGACTCTCTCTTTCTCTCTCTCACACACACACTTCCCCCTGCTCCAGCTGTGTCTTAAGAAGTCTGAGCCAGACCGGTAATCTGACTGGGATAGAAGTTACGGGATCTGTATCCATTACAGGATGTAATACTCCTCAGTCCAAAACTCTCCTCACTACCGCTTGCCTTCCACCTTTTAGAGGTCATTTCAAGATGACTTTTCCCCCTGCGCTTTTCAGCCATAAAAATCAAATTTCAAGCACAGTTTATCAGGGGACTCATAAACAGGCAACTGCTCTGTCAATGAACCCATATATCCCCAAATCCTGCCAAAACATTAGCCTTTCAGGTGCCGCCTTCTTAACCTTCACCTGTTGACACACTCCCAGAGCAGATCATGGCTTGTGTTGAAAAAAATATTTCAACTGGTTAAATCTAAGACACAAGTCCACTTCTGGATACCAGCAATCAATTTTCAACAACCAGCAGCAACATCATGCCTCAGTGTTTTAGCTTTACATCCAGCAGATAAGTAGCTCTAATGAGGGGTCAGTTTCCTGTGAGAGAACTCACCACATCCTGTTACTTCTAGAGCAAGAAGCACAAAATCCTAGTAGCAAACTGACATAGAGTCAGCTCTCACATCTTCTGTTTCACTTTTCTCAAAACTGCCTTCTATTCAGGAAGGTCTCAGTCAGCGTTCCACAAGGATTTTGTCAGTGACTTCCTGTGAATTGAGTAACCGTATGAATCCCTGTGGTTTTTAGATGAGTGATAACAAATGTAAGTATACATAGAGCATACAGTCTTTCTTGTCAGCATGGGGTCTTTTTTTTACATCAGTTTTGAGTAAAATTGTCCTTATGTATAGAAAACATCAACTCAGTGAAATCTGAAATCAGCAAACAGGTGCTCAGTAACACATACATACACTACCAGGCAACTGTTTGGGGTCACCTCCATAGCAGCCGAACACACGTGGCGTTTCTCCATGTGAAATCAAACAGCACTGTTGCAGAAGTTCCTAGTTGTACTGGACACTGTGCTGCCTTTCTAGCATTTGCAGCCCACTGTGTTTAGGTCATTATTGTGCTATAGGATGAACCCCTGAAAATGTACGACTTCCTTTGTTAATTGTGTTTTTCCAAACAATGCTTCAGATGGTGCACTAACACAGTCTTTTCCAACACTAACTCTACAGTTAGAATGAGTCAGCTTTTTATGATTTAAAATTAAACAGTAGTCTTGAACTGCTTAAAAGTCATAATATCAACTGGTAAAACGGAGGCGTCCCCCAATCTCATGACCAGTGGCGTACACAGGCAATGGCTGACAGAAAAGGATACAGTGAACAGAGTTTGCCACCAACTTTATGAAAACTAAAAACAGATCACTGCTAAACCCAATGTGAAGAATGGTACAGCACATTCTCAGTACATGGAGAACCCAGTGTCAAACAGCAACATGTGTGGAGAGATTTTTTTGGCCAAAACACTGGGTAGGTGTTTTATTGTGTTAAAGCAAAATCTGAAATTCTGCAGAGACCAGCAGAGTCTCATTAGCGAGCAGTGACAAAAGCAAAGCAACTGGCAGAGCTTTGACTGTGAAAACTGATACCGCAGTGCTTATTTCCACCAAGGACAATGAAATGTAAGCTATCATGCTCACTCTTCACTTCCCAGAACTAACACTGAAGGCTGCAGCCTGGCATAGGTGGAAGGTCACTAAAGATCTGTGTGTGTGTGAGTGAGAGAGAGAGAGAGAGAGAGAGATCTCCTTGAGGAATAATGGACATGTCGTCCTTTATTGGGCTGCTGCAGAGACAATGACCTAGACATGCAGAAAGGCAAACTGTGACCTTCATGTAGACAAAACAGTAGCTGTCTACTGCCTGTCTAAAACCTGTAATGACTCCAGTTCACCTGTGGCTGTAGGACCAGGAAACACTAGCTGACCAAGTCTAGGCAAGCATCCATGTGATGTTTCAGAAAGAGGGAAAGTTAGAATAAACAGTGACAACACAGTGAGCAAAAGGAACGTAGAAAAAGAGTAGCACAGATACTATATTCCAGTCAATTAAATCTCTGTCTACCTGCTCCATCTTTTTTCCCCCATACAGTTTTTCAGAAAACAAATATTTGCCCATCGAGTCGCAGCTATTGCCAGGACAATCAATCATCTATGTGTCAACCAATGAATGAGGCTGTTGCTAACAGGCCTAGGGCGAAATACTACGTGAATACAGTTTCAACAGTTGGGAAATGTTTGCTTTGAATGCACCTGATTCAACTCTGTTGACTAAAATGGACCTTAACTAGACAGAGTGATTGACTTGCTAGGAGTACAACACAAAGAAAAAACATTTTGGCAAAGGCCCATCTTTATGTCAGATTTCACATACAGTATGTCTTCACTGGCAGCTGTTTTGTGCCTTCTTGGACAAAGCAGTCAGTGTTACCATGAACTTAAAATATTCATGCATTTTTAATATTCGTGTCCAACTCTGTGCAGTGCAAATACTTAAATGTTCATGGCCTTCAAAATGAACGTTATTCCTTCTCAGGCTTCGTTTTACATGATAAAACTGCATCTGAGAGTAAATCAGAAGGAGGGGGCAACTCAGCGTGGGCTCTGTAGGAAAGCCGACTCAATTGGTGACAATGACAGGAAAGATGGACAAGAAAAAGGGGATGTCATGCAGCCAGAGGTCGCAGGACGACCTCAGACTTAACACACCGAGCATGAGAATTTGCTGGCTTAACTTCAGGGATCCCAGTTGAAACCATCTCCAATGACTTTAAATAGAGAAACAATAGAGAGAAGACAAATGTGCACAGACACCGTCACTCATAAGGAGCATGTCTGTCCAACACACATCATTTAAATTCTTTCAGTGGTGACTTTTAGCTAATCGACAGTACTACTTTTCCATGGTTAAATCTATATGCAGGGGAAACAAGAGAATCAGAGTCAAACCTTAATGACATACATCACAGCACTAAACATAACAGATATTAAATCTGACACATTCTCTCTCCAACACCTCGCCAGTCACACTCCAGATACCAAACATGGTCACAAACAAAGTGTCCAATGTGGCTTACAGCAACACAGTAGCTGTTGGTTCATGACAATATACCTCTGTCTATCTGAAGAAAACAGCTAATTCACTGTGATTAAAGATACGTAACTGAATGTCACAGCAACTCCAGCACTTGAAAAGAGAGTGAATTTGACAAAGTGGTCAGATAATTAATGAAATCATGGTCTTCAAATGTTTCTTTACAATCACTTATCAGCTCAAAATAGAAACACTGAGCTGCACCCATTAAAAAGTTATAGAATGTCAAATAAAAGAAAGAACGCTATTACAAGATCATCTCAGCAGGGAGCTTTTTAAGCTGCTAGCCTTAATAAAATGCAACATACTGCAGTGATGCAGTCATTTGATGAATTGCAGCAGAGCAATGTCTCAGTGAACCTAAGTAAAAACAGTAGCGAAGCTGAGCGCATTGGCCAGTAGAAAAAGTTTGCAGCAACTCACCGTGTGCTTGTGGCTGAAGAGAGAACAGTCCAAGCAACAGCAGAGGACTCTGGCTCCAGAAACAGAGAGAGAGACAGCGCTTCAGTCTTTCTCCCTGCACTGGCATGGTAGAGTCTGCCACTCCACTCCTGTCTTCAGTACACTCCACACCACAGGATCCACCGCTCACACACTGCCTCTTCCTCCAAACGTGTGGTTTGTATGTGCCAGAGAGAGAGAGCGAGAGAGAGGAGGAGGGGGAGGAACACTGGGCATGCAAGCTTCTGTCTGTGTGCCCACCACAATGTGAGAAGCCCACACCAGACAAAATGCACCAGCAGCAGCAGTAGCAGTTTACTGTCCTCCAGCCCAGTCTGACAGTAGCAGCCCAGCTAGGAGAGGGAGAGGGAGAGAGAAAGAGAGAGAGAAAGAGGGAGAGGGAGAGGGAGAGAGAGAGAGACTTTACTTCACTTGTCTAGTAGGGAGGGCTGACCTGCTAACACACACATTGCCAGGGAGGGAGGACATGGGTAGAAAGAAAACGGGGGCAGGGAGCAGACAGGAGCAAGATGGGATTCAGAAAAAAGTAGGAAGCGGGTGAGGAGGATATTGAAAACAAGCAGCAGGATCTGAGGGATTCTGCAGAGTTCTGTGCCTTTACAAGCTTACAGCTCCCACTTTTTTGAGTAGGAATTCTATGAACATAATGAAAGAGAAAAGTATAAACTATTAAATTGAATGGAGTTTGTGAGCAGTGGTACATACTGTAACTGATGCATTGCGCATAATTTGGGATCTACCGTAAAACCATTTTATAACATACATAAAAAAATTAAAACTGACAAAAGATGTACCCTTACTATGGAGAGTTGACCAATATATGTATCAGAAGCTCTTACGGTATTCAGAGCAACAGCCAACCATGTAACACTGGATACAACTGCTACTGTATGTGCATGCCCTCACGAGCAGCCCAAGTGGCAATTAAGAGCAAGGGCCTGCTTCAAGTGTGCTAAACCAGAGTGCATTTCAATTGTTTGTTTTGACACATGAGAAGGCTAAATTGTAGTGTACTTAACATGTGCTTATAGGACAGTGTGATGACCTTCAGTCTTACCCTGAGAACAGACCGGAAAAGGCCCAGGCAAAACAATATTTATGTCAAACAGGCAAAACAATATTTATGTCAAACTGTGTCAAAGTTTGCTTGACAAATAACTGCACATGTGGGATTACTAGTCAAAAACAGGTGATTTCTTGATTATCCACAACTGGTTTTTGATTTCTTTTTTGAGACATGGAAAAATAATATTTTGAACACTAAACAAACTTGAAAATTAGATGCCTGTCCCAGAGCACGTCAGATAACCTATTCAAACCACCTCTTTACACAGTGGTGTGCTGTTAACACATCAGGTAGCTTGCAGAGACACTTTAAAAGGAGCAGTCAGTGATTATGTCACCCCAGCCTACAGCTAATAAATAAATGAGCTGAGACACTCTAACAAACCCATTCCTTAAGATGGCCATCCTCTTGCCTGTAATGCATGTGCCGTAGACAAAACTGTGAATGTGTATGTACAGTACGTGCTGAGAACACTTTGCTTATAATAATAATCATTACCGACCTGAAACAACACAAAAGGAACTGACACAAAATGCTGACACTTGAAGTTTCGAGGTTAAATAAATGGGGGAAAGATTTTTTTTTTGTTTTTATGTTGCTCTGTCTCATGTGTGGTCACAACTGTTCTTTCTCGCACTTGTTCAGTGCGCATTAGTGACAAACAAAGGGTGGCCCAGCTCCCTCGCTCATTGATGAGAGCTTCATAAATTAACTGTCCAGCCCCTGTCCTGGTATGTTCTTTTTTTATCTCCTCATACCTTCCTCTATGAAGACCCTTTTCCACATGAATCTTAATATACAGCGAGTGATGCTCCTGTTGAATTTCTGTGTCAGCAGAAACAAGAGCTCATGGCTTGTCAGCTGAAAAGCTAGTGTTTTTTTTTTCTGCAAAATCTAGAGCACATGGAAGGTTTTAGTATTGTTATATGGGACTATTAATGCAGCCAACATTATACCAAGAATGGCTGCCGACATAACATTGCATCAAAATGAAAGAAAGGTAAAAAACATATAATGTAGCAAAAGTTATGTTTATGAGAACCAACTCAGCAGCAACATTCCCTGAATGCTATTGTATAATCTTTATAAACACTATAAAAAAAGACCCCAAAAAAAAATTAAACTCAACGTTGAAGATTTCTATTTTTTCCACTTCCTTCTTTGTTACATCCCCTAAATATTTTTTAACTCACAAACTCAATTGCCCTCCACTTCTACTCCGGTCTTTCTCTCCTCCATTCCTCTTCCCACTCCCCTCCTCCAGTCAACCAGAATCTCATTTCAAGCATGTCCTACCATGGGAAGCCTTTTAAAAACTGTGAGAGCATTTGCCCCCAATCCCCACTAGCTAGAAAGCTGTGTGTGTGTGTGTTTAAGTGTGAAAAAGAGAATGTGTGAAAGAGAGGGAGGGAGACAGATGAGATGAGATATAGATATATAGATCAATGTCTGCAGTGATTTGCCAGAGAACAGAATATCATATGCAGATTGAGGAATGACCCCTTTAAAAAACTGTTACTTTAAGAGATTTTATGCTTTTGCCCCACACACACACACACACACACACACACACAATAACACACTTGCTATTCTTTCAAAGTGTCGCCCTCATGCTGGGCCTATGATGAATGGCTGAGACTATGACAAGTGAAGGATGAAGAGTAAAGAAAAATCTTCTGACAAGTAAAACAAAAGATGAGGCCAGAGAGGAATGATCAGTGTCTGAGATGGTTTGAAGGAAAGATTTAAGATAATAAATGGAAGATGGTGAGCTTTTGTGAAGAACAGAAGCAGTTCAGAGGGAAGGGAGGAAAAAGAACAGCATGACAGATCAGAGAGAGAGAAAACCGAGCTACAGACACAAAATGTAACTAGTTTCTACTTTAAGCTAAAGAAATAAAGCAGCTTAGACATTTTGATCTGAAGCCGAGAGCTTCATTTTTTTTCCAGAATGCATCTGGTTTTCAAAGGAGTGGTACTCAAGCTCCCTTTACATGTCATCAGATGATGTGATTCAGACAGTGCTGGGGGGTCAATATACTCTGTTCAGCATTCACTCTGTCATCATTTTTGACAGGCTGTCATAACACAACAACTTCACAGCTTCCAGTGTCAACATGAGTCGAGATGGCTTTAAGCAGAAAGCTAAACACCATTAATAGAGCACAGAAATGTGAAAACACGTTTACTTTCTGGTACATCTAATCTTTTATCAGGCTCAGACAGTCGAACCCCCCGATTTTGGAAACGGAAAATAAATGCATGGAATAAAAAGACACAAACTTCCTGATTCTGTTGCATCAAATGATACTTTTCTGTTCAAACTGTCCAATGTGAGTCTGACAGTTTCATTGGACTGCAGCACTAAATTAATAGAGCAGAAAAAGCAGATGTTTGGGAGACATGGTTTGCACAGTCTGCTGTCAAATAGTTCCTCTAATAATGAGCTATTCAAGATGTAACAAATACTGTACAAGCCCCCTGTCACATCAGTGTGTTCTTTGAGGAAACCACACAGCAGCTCCCTGTGGTTAGACTCAACATGCCCAAAACATAAATGTATTTGTTATACTTGTGGCTTCACACAGAGACATATTTGTTATTAGCATAAATTGTCAGCACTTTGGGATTTCTATTTGTGTAAGAGGATTTAAAGGCTGCCTTACCGCTTCCTGGTTAACTTTTAGAAGCATTTATACCTTTATTTGATGTGTGAACTGACTAACCGACTGGGGATTAAGTTAGTTTTAAAGAAACACCTCTTGACCCAGGTGTCCTAGCTAATTATAGACCAATATCCAATCTCCCATTTATTTCCAAAATCCTTGAAAAAGCTGTTGCAAAGCAGTTAAGTGACCACTTGCACAAGAATGATTTGTTTGAGGATTTTCAGTCAGGATTTAGAGTCCATCATAGTACAGAAACCGCATTGGTGAAAGTCACCAATGATCTTCTCCTAGCCTCGGACAAAGGACTTGTCTCCATACTTGTCCTCTTAGATCTCAGTGCTGCTTTTGACACAATTGATCACAGCATCTTGCTGCAGAGACTTGAACATATTATTGGGATTAAAGGAACTGCGCTAAGTTGGTTCAAATCTTATTTATCAGAAAGATTTCAATTTGTTCATGTTAATGACGAATGTTCCACACAAACTGAAGTTAGTCACAGCGTTCCACAGGGCTCTGTGTTAGGCCCAATTCTCTTCACTTTATACATGCTCCCTTTAGGCAATATTATCAAGAAGCACAACATAAATTTCCATTGCTATGCAGATGATACTCAGTTATATTTATCTATGAAGCCAAATGAATCAGATCAGCTGGTCAAACTTCAAGCATGTCTTAAAGACATAAAGGCCTGGATGACCTGCAACTTCTTACTTCTAAACTCTGACAAAAATGAAGTCATTGTGCTTGGGCCTGAAAACCTTAGAAATCTGCTGTCTAATCATATAGTTACTTTAGATGACATAGCTCTTGCCTCCAGTACTACTGTGAGGAACCTTGGAGTCATCTTTGATCAGAATATGTCCTTTAAATCACACATAAACCAAGTCTCTACATCTGCCTTCTTTCACCTGCGCAATATTGCAAAAATCAGGAGCATCCTGTCTCAAAGTGATGATGAAAAACTGGTC